GATCAATTATAATAGACTATCAATCAGTTTGCCCTTTCCAGTTCCGATTGTCAATTACAAATCCGTAAACGATATAATCATTTTATTACTCAACTCTAGTGCTTATGAATTTTATAATTTGGTTGATGGTAATGTAGAAATAAAAACCAGAACTGCCTAGAAGTTGCTCTTTTTTTTGCTTGTGATCCATTCATTATAAACGAATGAAACCCAATGTTATGAGTTAACAACTCTATTGATATAGAAAAAGTGTTCTCGCTTTATTAATGTATTCAGTCCAATAAAATTATAAACCAATTATGCAATCGATCATCAATTGGTCTACTACATCCGATTATAAAACCAATTATGACTTTAAATTGATCATTAGCTACAACTTTTCCAGCGAAACGCAATAAAACTTAGATAGGTTTAATATTACTCCAAGTGAAGATCCCTAACTAGAAATTTGTTATCCTGATTGTTTGTTTGAAATCTCCAACATATTTATAATTCGATCCATGCTTTTTCCTGGCCTGGAAAAGTTTACATAAAAATGGGTTTTATTAGTGATCCATAATAATGACAAAAAAATAGACCCAGTAAAAACGATGTCCGTATTTGTATACTCAGTGTTAATGATTTTTCGGATCAATATTACAGCATTATTCAGGATATAATCAATTATTGTTATTGTTTTCTTATTAAAGCTGATATTCTCCGCTTTGGAGACTTTTTGTCGGCTGAAACATCTGATCACCATCTGGTCCACATGTTAATTGGTTGTGCATAGTACAAGGTTACAGAAGCATGAACACACTCTAACAAGCTATTGTGTTAGTGACTGGCAAGGCTAGCTGTGAGATATAGCGGTAAAGGCCTATTCTCAGGGGCCTTTGTCAACCAGCTGGGACAGATCCATTGGGCTTTCACATTTTCACTGAGATCAGGGGTTGATTAAAAAATTAGAAATTTTGTGCTAGTACGAAGTTCCTATAGGATGGACAAGATAGGACTCTTTCATGTCCAGGGAAGAAGTAGGGAAAGGAATTTTAAAATCGCAAGGGGAGGGGTGTAGATTTTCGTTTCACACATCTTAAGAAAATGCGTTCTTATATACATTGTACTAGTACGTACCTTAGTTTCCTCACCGTTCTAAAAGTTTTGTAGTAAGATTTCCCTTGATCCACACACTAAAATAAAACAAAGCAAACAAATGATGAAAACCCAACAGGATCCACATTTAGTTGAGAAGAATGAAACTGTGACTAAAAATTAACACCATCCATCAACATTGTGAAAGTTTGAATCATGAAAGTTCCTGGATCTACTTTGAAAATAAAAAACAGCGAAAAACACCCGCTAGATCAGATCCAGCCCGAGTCCCCCATCGATCTGTCTCTTTGGAAGAAGTTTTTGGCATTTACTGTTTCTGCAGCATTTCGTAATTTGACACAAATTTTAAAAATAAAATTGTAGATTTATAGATATGAATTATGAAAATTTTGAAGAAAATATACCTTATAATAAAAAACAATTGATGTAGTTAAATATGAACACAGGTAAAACTCCTCAAGGTAGAGGAAGACATTGTTTGATAAGGGGAAACAGACATTGTGCCATCCCCCCCACCCCCACCCCC